AAAGGCAGATATTGTCAGACTGGATAAAAATATGTGATCAAACTATATGCTCTCTACAAGTGACACACCATAAATGTAAAGTTATAATTTGTTGGAATGTAAAAAAATGGAAAAATATATAGCATGAAAACAGAAACCATAAAAGCTGGAATAATTACAGAGACAAAACCAACTCTAAGACAAGAAATGTTAGAATTGCTTGTGCAATTAGGCCAAGAAAGAATGAAAGAAAGAAAGGGGGCGATAAATAAAGGCATTTCAGTTAGAAAGGGAGGATCAAAACTATATTCACAGGTGTCATGATCTTATGCATGAATCATTTCAGGTAATCCACATACACATATATACTAGTGAACAAAATTGGGGGTGGGGGTGGGGGGGCCCTGGTGAGGAAATTGAGAAAACTTTGCTCCAAAAAGTTTGTGGAAAAATTTCATTATCTTTCAATTCTATTTTCCACAGATACTTTGAAGCGCCTCATAGCATCAAAAAGAAAATAAATGACATATTTTTAAATAAGCAGGAAATGAAATATTTGAAACTGTTTTAAACTTTTGATTATTTGCCCATTAAACTATTATAAAGATGTTTGGTAAAACTCAAAAAAGTATGTAACTAGTGTTGGCCTTTGGCCAGATTTTTGTGGTGTCTTAGTTATCTTGTGCAATTTGTACCTAAATTACCCCAAGTGGGTGGAGTTGCCAGATGGATTTGTATCTTCACAGTGGAGGAGGCTAGACGTCTTACTGCTCGCTGTAGGAGAAGGCTTTGTTTCCTCTCTGTGTCCCTTGGTGTTCTGAGAGGTTTGCCTCACAGACCCTGGCTCTGAAGATCACATTTTGTGGTAGTAGGTTCCTCTAGTCCCTCCTCACTGTTGACTCCCTTTTTCATTTCCAATCTAATCCTGTAGATTGTATCCTACCTCAATAACATAGTTACCACCACCTCATTAATTTTGTTGTTGTTAAGTGCCTTCAAGTCATTTTTGACTCATGGCAAGCATGTATAGGGTTTACAAGGATTGGCTGGTGGGTTTGAACCAACTTGCAGTCAGCAGTCCAGGGCCTCATCCTACAGAGCCACACCACAACCCCATAAATGCCTGTTCGCATTTCCCTGTTCCTGATTCAGAATCTTTCAAGGCTGACCACATTCTTGTTTTTCTGTGGTCTTGGTAGGGGGGGTTATCAGAACAATGGCCTGTTTATGTCACCATGATTCCAGAATCCTTAGTGTCAAGGATCTTGAAAATAAATGTAGATATTCTAGCAACTCATACTTTTATCAACGTGAGGCATGAAAGAATTTTATACTCAGAGTCTAAACCTTTACCTGTTACCTGAAAATGCCTTTTAAAAAAATACAGGTGTGTGTTGTATGTCTGTTCTGCCAGTGTCTGATTGTGTGTATATGTATATGTTAACTGTTTCAAGAGAAAGCAGCTCTCCTGTTGCAAATCAATGATTTTCCCCTAAGGATTTTAAGGACCTTGAGCCCAGACTCCTGGCATGATCTCTTGGGTGTTGTCCTGGGATAGGGGCTGCCGGTGCCAGGACAGCTTCTCCGGCTCAGGTGGTGGATCTGTGGATCAGTGAGCAGGGCCTGGTGTCCTCCTCCTCCCTCACCTGCTTCCTCCTCCTGCCTGTACTGGTGTTGTCAGTGACCCATTCGTCCACCTATATCAGCCGGAACAGCAGCAGCAGCAGCAGCAAGGACATCCAAAGTGGCCTCTCATGAAAGTTTCATACACAACATTCAAATTGTATAGCATCCTATTTCACAGACTGTTGTGGACATCCTGTAACACATACTCTGACTGGAACATTCTAGATACTGTGAACAGGTCGGTCCATAGTTATAGATTTGTGGTTTTCAAATCTATTTCTCAAAAGTGAAAACCATTTAAGAATCATGGTTTTTTGTTTTGGTTTTAAGATGATGACTCACTTATTTTACGCTCTTGCTGTGCTCCTTGTATTGTGATTAACTCTTTACACATTTTATCTTTTTTACTTTTCACAACAATACTATGAAGATGGTATCAATATTATCTCAGTTTTTTATGGAGGGCAAGAAAGAAAAGAAATGTGAATAGCTAGAGTATAGTGAAGACAGGCTTCTTTGGTCATCCGTTTGCAGAATCCATACTCCTAACTAGTAATTTTAAAGCAAATGTTGTTGTTGTTGTTAAGTGCCCTCAAGTTGGTTTCTGACCCACAGCGACCCTGCATAGGGCATAGGGTTTCCTAGGACCACCTGGTGAGCTTGGACCACTGGCTTTGCGGTTCAGACCAACTTTGCAATTCAGTGCTTTAACCCACAGTGCCACGCCAGGACTCCATATAGAAAATAATGAATAATAATCCTAAATCAGTCCAATGATGTGCTAGAAATGGTTTTATACCATCTCCTGAGTACTCTTCTGCATTTTTATGGTCCTGTTTGTAAATTTTAATAGCTTAAAATCAACCATGATAAGATAATTTATGCTATGGAAAAGGGAAAACGCTACAAAATGGTAAAAATTCAAAAACTGTTTGAAGGAAGCCTGTCTACCCACACATCATTTAGTTATGTAGTATATCATGCTAGTGTGGCACTGTAGGTAATACACTGGACCACAAGGTCGGTTTGAACGACAAGATTGCTGGTTCAAACTCACCAGCCGCTCTTTGGAAACGCTATACAGATTGCTGAGTCAGACCGACTTGACAGCACTTAACAACAACAAATCCTGCTAGTCATCATTACGACCAGTAATTACCAAGTTATCACTTCTGTTTCCAGGGCCTTTCTATTTTAATCTAACTCCTAGGGACCCAGTGTCTGCCAAAGTAGAATTGTGGTCCACAGCAGTTTCAGTTGCTGATTTTTCACAAGTAGCTCCTGGGACTTTTCTTCCGAAGTGTTGCCAGGCCAACTCAGACCTCCAGTGTTTTGATTATCAGCTGATTATGTTAACTGTTGGCATCACCTGCGTCTTCACTGGTCAGTACATTATGAGAGAATACCTGCCAAAGTCTCAAATACTAACAGGATGCAAATGAAATCAGTATCCCCAATAACAGGTATTTTAGCTTAGTGGTATTTAGCTTAGTCTGAAGAGAAAAAATGTGTAGTTATTATTGTTGTTTGTTGGTAGGTGCCATTGGGTTGGTTCACACTCATAGTGACCCTGTGTACAATAGTATAAACACTGCCCGGTCCTGCACCAACGTCACCGTCGTTACTCCTGAGTCCATTGCTGCAAGCACTGGGCTCAGTCCATCTCCTTGGGCAGGGGGTCTTCTTCTTTTTCACTGACCCTCCACTTTACCAAGCATGATGTCCTTCTCCAGACATGAGTCCTTTCGAAGATATGTCCTAAGTATGAAAGGTGAAGTATAGCCATCCTAGATTCTAATGGACATTTTGACTGTACTTCTGACATAGATTTGCTTATTCTGCCATCCATCTTATTTTTAATATTCTTCTCTAACACCATAACTTAAATGCATCAATTCTTCTCTGTTTTTCCTTAATCACTGTCCAACTTTCACATGTATATGAGGTTATTGAAAATATCATGGTTTGGGTCAGGCACACCTTAGTTCTCAAACTGACACTTTGCTGTTGAACACTTTAAAGAACATTTATACATTAGATTTCCTAATGCAACATGTCTTTATTTCTTGATTGTTGCTGCTTCTATGAGTGTTGACAGTGGACCCAAGCAAAATAGTTAGAACTTACAAACTTAAAGTTAAAAGCAGTCATTTCTAAATGTCAGAGTAGAAGAGACTGTCATTTACAGACTCTAATCTTTTATCTAGGAGTCCTAGTCTGGTGCTGAACTGCTAATCACAATATCGGCAGTTCAAACCTTCCAGCCACTCCTTAGAAATCATATTACAGGGTCTCTATGAGTCGGAACTGATTTGATGACACTTAGCAACAATTTCAACCATTGGATTTTGGAAAAAGTCCTTGCCTGATAGACTGCAGACTGTGAAAGTAGCAGCTGTGTTCAGATTCGAGAAGTTTCTTAGTTTACTGACTGAGGAGGGACGGGAACTTGTTGGGTAGGAGCCAGAGTCATGACAGGAAACAGAGGAATCCAAAGAAGGAAAGTTGGTTTGGTTTGTGTGCAAGTATGGTTTGGGGCATGTGTTTCTTTTATCTATAAAATAACTTTAACTTTAATTCTGGAAGCCTGGTATTTAATAATCCTTCCAAAAATCCTAACCATCACACTCTGCCCTTAATGAAAATCATTTCACTGGTCATAGTTCATTTAATAATTATTTAAAATTGTTTTAATGTCATCAGTTGCCAGTTTGATTTTATTCCACTGGGTACCAAATTTGCCCTTTTGAAATTTCTTTTATGATGAAGACATACTCCAGCCTGCCTCTTGTGTCTAGTGTATTTATAATGTTCTTTAGTAGTAGAAATCCTCCTGTAAGCCTCTGCCCACACCTGGCTGCACTGCCGAGTAAATCTATAGGTGATTTATAATGCATTTATTCCTGATTAGCATGGTTCGCTCTAAGTTACAGATCAGTCCTTACCCTGTTTACATCCACTCTTCAGTAAATAAATTGTGAGATTTTTAGAGTTGATTGGAATGGGAAAAACTGCAGTACTATAGTCATCTACAGAACTGGAGCCAAACTGTGCGTGCTGTCAAGTCAATTCGGACCCATAGCGATCCTGTAGGAAAGAGCAGAACTGCCCTGTGGGCTTGACTGGGATGTAAACTTTAAGGGAGTAGGTCCAGGTCTGTTTCCTATGGAGCTACTGGGTAACTTTGAACTACGGAACATTTGGTTAGTAACCAAGGGCTGAATCATTACACCACATGGGTTCCTCATTCCAGATTCGGCTTCTGTTTGTGGGCTCTGTATTCGACAGTTGATAATGACTCTCTTTCTGAGATGGAAACTAAAGTGTGGGAAGGTTAGGTTGCTCTGAATGATGGTTCCTCCTGATGCTGATGGTGGCTTTCCCTTTCTGAACAGAATGTCCCACCAGATCTCTCCATCTGCACCTTCGTGTTGGAACAGTCCCTGTCTGTCCGGGCCCTGCAGGAGATGCTGGCTAACACAATGGAGAAGTCAGAAGGGGCAAGTACCTGGTTTATGCACACTTGTAGCATTTTAATGAACTCAGCTACTACATGAATGATTTCTTTTACAGGTATAGAAGATTTTCCTTTTGGCTGGAATAATATCTTTTGCTTGTAAATTCCTTACATTTAACTTTCTGCTTTATGTAGCAGACCTGTGATGTAAGCACTTGATGAGAGAAACCCAAATTTGAGTGTGACCTGTGTCACTGAATCTACCCTTAAGCTGTGTCTTAAATAGAGCTGTCCTTTGAGAATTGGTGTTTCTCCTTACATGTCATAGCTGTCTTATTATTTTTACTAGTTTTTGCATGGCCTTTAAACTAAACCTTTGTTTCATTTTTCAAATGCCTCTAACCATCTGAAGTAAGCTCAAACACTTTAAGCTCAAATACCTTTAACCATCTGATTATTCTGAAACACTGCTAACCATCTGACTATGTTCAATGCTTCTTTATGGCAGATGAAACTTCATGGCACTATTTTATATTTTAAACAATGGAATTACAGCTTTATCTAGTTGGAGTTTTACAAACAGCTAACCATTTTCTTCTTAAAATTAAAAATTCTTATTCTGTCTCCTGATGCAAGCATTTTTCTCTAAAAAGTTATTTGGTTATTTAATCATTTTCCATGAGTCTTGTTAAAACTAGTTTCTGGGATGTGATATATATTAAACCAGTTGATTAAATCTAAGAATTAATCAGGAGAAAGAACTATTAAAATTTTGTTTCCTAGTATGACGGGAACACTAAATGGTTTAAAGTTAAGAAAGGTATGCGACAGGGTTATATTCTTTCACCAAACCTATTCAACCTGTACGCTGAGCAAATCTTCCGAGAAGCTGGGTTCTATGAAGAAAAACGTGGCATCAGGATTGGAGGAAGACTCATTAACAACTTGTGATATGCAGATGATACAACCTTGCTTGCTGAAAGTGAAGAGGACTTACAATACTTACTTTACTGATGGAAGATCAAAAAGCACAGGCTTCAGTATGGATTGCATCTCAATGTAAAGAAAACAAAAATCCTCACCCCTGGACCAATAAACAACGTTCTTATCCATGGAGAAAAGATTGAGTTGTCAAGGACTTCATTCTTCTTGGATCAACTATCAACACTCATGGAAGCAGCAGTCAAGAAACCAAGTGATATATTGCATTAGGCAAATCTGCTGCACAAGACCTTTTTAAATTATTGAAGAGTACAGATGTCAGTTTGAGGACTAAGGTGCACCTGACCCAAGCCATGGTATTTTCAACAACCTCATATACATGCGAAAGCTGGACAGTGAATAAGGAAGACCATAGAAGAATTGATACTTTTGGGTTATGGTGTTGGAGGAGAATATTGAAAGTGCCATGGGCTGCCAAAAGAACCAACAGATCTGTGTTGGTTGAAGTGCAGCCAGAGTGCTCCTTGGAGGCCAGGATGGCCAGACTTCATCTCTCATACTTTGAACATCTTGTCAGGAGGGACCAGTTGCTGGAGAAGGATATCATGTTTGGTAAGGTGGAGGGTCAGAGAAAAAGAGGAAGACCCCCAATGAGATGGATTGGCAAAGTGGCAGCATCAGTGGGCTCAAGGGTGGCAACAGTTGTGAGGTTAGCCCAGGACCAGGCAGTGTTTCATTCTGTTGTGCATAGGGTCTCTATGAGTCGATACTGACTAACAGCAACAAGTATAATAGTTTATTTGGGGTGAAGGGTATTTTAATTATTGCAGAATATTGTGGTACTTGACCAGAAGATAGGTTTGAATCACAAGGTTGGCGATTCAGACTCACCAGCTGCTCTTCGGGAACCCTTGACAGGGTTGCTGTGTGTCGGAACTGACTCGATGGCACTAAATAACAGCATTGATCGATAAATTATTTGGGTGAATAAAACTAAAACATTTCTTCTGTCCTCATTGCTCTCTATATTGCTTTTGTTGCTGTTCATCATTGTTCCCATTTATCTGAGAGATTAAAAATGGTTCAAAAAAAAGAAAATGGGTGCTCAACCATGATATAACATTGTTTTCATCAATGTTGCATTCTGCTTATTTTAGTTTCACACAGTTTAGGGCTTTAATTAGTTTTTGCGTTAATTCTAACTAAGTGTTAAGTTTTAAGATTATTAATAATAAGTATGGAGGAGAAACCTTAGTAATTTTTTATTTGATATTAAACTCCAAGCTCATTTTGCCCGACCTCCAAATATTGGAATATATTGTATGTATTTTCATTTTCCAACCTCATTTTTTGTTACAACTTTGAATTGGTGACATTAGAATGTAGAGATTCTTTTAAAATTACTATTCTTTCATGCAAAGCTTTCAGGATAGGCTTAAATTGTTGCTGTTGTTAAGTGCCGTCGAGTTGGTTCTGACCCATAGCGACCCTGTACAGGGTTTCTGAGGCTGTAAATCTTTACGGGAGCAGACAGCCTCATCTTTCTCCCACGGAACAGCTGGTTGTTTCGAACTGCTGACCTTAAGGTTCGCAGTCCAATTCGTAACCACTACGCTACCAGCGCTCCTTTAAATAGACGTTAAAGACTTATAAAATTTCTGATTGCAACTAGTTTAGTTTCTACCTGGAATAACCTTTCTTGATTTTTTTTAAACATCACTGAGGTATGCCAACTTTAACATAGAATAGTATCTACAAAGAAAAATCACTTTTCCTTTGCACTTGTTGTTACGTGCCATCGAGTCGACTCCGACCCATAGTGATCCTGTGTAGGATTTCAGAGGAGTGGCTGGTGAGCTTGAACCAGCGACCTTCTGGTTCAGACGACTTTGCAGTCCAGCGCTTTAACCCACAGTGACACACCGTTACAATTTCACCTATCTGTTTAGGCAGCAACTTAAAGTGTTTTTGTGGTTAGGTGCTGACCCTCCATGCAGCATTACCAGGCCCTGCACCATCTTCTTGTTATGTTGGAACCCGGTGCGGCTGACATTGTGTTAATCCATACTGTGGAGATGCTTCCCCTTTTTGACTGACCCTCCACTTGATCAAACATGATCTCTTTTTCCAGGGACTGGCCCCTCCCAACAACATGTCCAAGTATAAGAGACAAAGTCTCGCCATCTTGACTTCTTAAACGCATTCTGACTACACTTTCTTCTAGATATATTTGCTCATTCTTCTGGCAGTCCCTGGTACTCTCAATAGTCTTCCTAACACCAGAATTCAAGGGCATGAAAATCCTCACCATTGGACCAATAAACAACATTCTTATCAATGGAGAAAAGATTGAA